AAGCAGCATCATCGGCATGGAGGTCCACGGTCTTGACGCCGTGCATCTTCTTGTGCAAGTCGATCACGCCATGGCAGCCATGGTAGCCACCGCTGATGGCGATAACTTTGGGAACAATGTTGACGAGCAAGGCATGGAAAGCGCTGAGGCCGCTTGTGTAGCTGACAACATGGTTTGCTAACCCGGATTGCCCATCCAGGTCTTCCTGTTTTGCATCAGGGTAGATCAAAGGCGCTAGGATTGTCTCTAGGCGATTGGTACTGGCCGATGCGAGGCGGGAGTAGATGAGAGGGGTTTGTAGGTCGACAAATTCGCCTTCTTTCGGGACGGGTTGGAGCTCTGATGGGTCGTGCGGATACCGGAAGGTAGTCGATGTGTGAATTGGTGGAGCGACATCGCTGAGGACATTGATGCGGTCGTCGCCATGGACTCCGTGTGTTGAAGGGTGGTATGCTGACATGATGATTGTGGATGTATGACTCCGAGATCTTCAGCAGGCAGATAGCGACGTCTGCAGTATCGCGATCGTGTTGGATGCTGTACGGACGTTAATCTGATGATAATTGACACAGCCTTTTCTCTGTCATGTCAACGGCGACGAATGACCCTATGTTAATGGAGAACACGCATATCACGATGACTAAACGAGTATTGCGACATCACGCCCTATACGGCGAAAATTGCGGACCATGGCCGCTAGATCTAACCGTTCACGCGATTGGAGTGGAGCTTTGCCGGCAATTGTGGACACAGGCGTAGCATGAGCTGGGGAGTGGGTATGAAGCTATGAAGCTTGTGCAGCGCTTGGTGGAGTCTCGAACACCTCGTCGATGTATATGTACTTCAACAGGTACTTGTATACCCGCGAGGTGGCATAGGGACATCACTCAAGGAATGTTCTTCCGCGCGAGCTCTTGTAGTGCGGAATGACCGGAGATATGACGAGTGCGGGGTAAACTTTTGCCCCTCCTCGCGACAAAAAAAGTCGCAGACAGCAGCGCACCTGCGCCGTGAAAGACAGGGTCTGACAAACATATCAGAGTAATCACATGCGCACGGAAATGGGGAATCCCGCTCATCGATAGCCTCTCGAAGAGTTATGGAACCTTGTTGACCATTACTACTGAATCGCAAGCTGTCTATTGCACAAAACTCCTTCTCAGATAGTCGACCATAGTTACATTCCACTCTCACCGCAGAGTATCTACTGGGCTCCGGCATCCGTAATGGTGGGTACACCCTCCTTGTACTTGATGTTGCCGTTGCTGGAGCCGCAGGCCTCGATCGCTCGGACAACCTTGTAGGATTCGACGTCGCCGTCGGGAACGCCACCGAAGACGACGTGCTTGCCGTCGAGCCATGAGGTAACGACGGTGGTGACGAAGAACTGGGAACCGTTGCTGTGACGCGTTAGCCATGACTCCGCTAGTCCGTGGGTGTGTAGAACCTACGTGTTGGGGCCGGCGTTGGCCATGGAGAGGAGGAAGGGGCGGTTGTGCTTCAACTTGAAGTTCTCGTCGGCGAACTGGGGACCGTAGATGCTCTTACCACCTGTGCCCTACTGCCTGTTAGCCAACTGTCCCTGTGGTATGTCGAGGCAAGACTCACATTGCCGCGGGTGAAGTCACCGCCCTGAAGCATGAAGTCGGGAATCACGCGGTGGAACTTTGAGCCCTTGTAGCCAAAGCCCTTCTCGCCAGTGCAGAGAGCGCGGAAGTTCTCAACCGTCTTGGGGACGACATCGTCGAAGAGCTCGAAGTTGACACGGCCGGTTTGCGCTGGAGGTATACAAAGTCAGCAATTGCAAGTAACATGCTATTACAAAGCTGGCAGGAGCTACCTTTGACATCACCTTGGCTAGTGACGTTGCCAGCGTTGTCGACCTCGACGGTGGGACCGGTCCAAGAGCAATCAAAGTAAGCCTTGATGGCCATGTTGTATGCCGAGGGAGTGAAGAAGCGTTTGTTGATAGGAGCGCGCAGTTGGGGACCTGCACGGAAAGCTGAAAGAGCAGAAGCTCTCGGAAGGTGGGGCATGATGCAGCGCGGGGTGTGAGTCTAACCTGATAGGCAGTTAGGTCATGGAGCTTGGCAGTGAATCGTGAGATAGCAGGTAATTTTCTTCTGGGAGATGCTGCAGCTTTGGAGCTGAAGTCCGGTGCCACTTTGTTGGCTGTGAACTCAATTTAGAGCTACCCAGAACTGCTGAATCGCTATGACGACCCAAGGATTGAGGTGTACAGATCCAACGGTGGCAACTTACAAAAGTATACGAGGAGGAATCGGGCCGCTATGCAACACGATATGCAATACGGAAGAGATATAATACAATTGATGGACTACCGACGAGAGGCAGCAGGTGTAGTGTCGGATGGATGACCAGATGGAAAACTTTGGATACCTCAAGCTTGTGCACAAGTCTAGCGCGTTCCCCGATTCGGCGCTTCATCGCTCACGTCAATCGTGGGACTCTGCATGGGACCGGCCCGCTCTGGAATTGATATCCGCTTCTGCTCGCACTGAGAAGAATACCGATGCCCATTGAGTCACGCTATATCCGTATGACGAGTCGTACCATTGTCGAAGTAGTGTTGGTGTCAATTCCCAAAGCCGGCAAGGTCCGAGCTCGCGTCACGTGAATTTGGGCTGCTGTCGGACTGTCTACGGTGCATGCACTTCACAGGTTGGCTTGCTGACAGGGTAAACGCATTCCTGTAATTGAAGACATCTGCATCCTTTCCGATTGATCTTTCCTGTCACACGCACATCCCAAACGCAAGCACCCGATCCGACTTCCCGAAACTCGTGCAAAGCGCCCTCGGGGGTCCGCTACCGAGACCGTGGGCGATAGCTGCCAGCCCAACTACAGTACACCCACATCGCCAAACCGCCAGACTTACGCGCCAGAATTCTGCAATCATGGATCTAAACAGCTTGAAGGACCAAGTGAGCAATCTCACGCTCTACGACCTCAAGGCCGGATTTCGCAAGGCCCAAAATGGTAGGCTGAGGGGACGCATGAAGCCAGCTGGCCAATGCTAACGCGCTGCGCAGCCGTCATGAACTACACGGAGATGGAGGCCAAGGTCCGCGAGGCGACAAACAATGAGCCATGGGGTGAGCGAAACCTCGTGCGCCGCGAAGGCTTCCGCTGACAGATGGCAAGGTGCATCCTCGACTGCGCTACAGGAGATCGCCAATGGAACCTTCAACTAGTAGGCGATGCCTGAGGAGCTGGTGGACCACGGCTAACAGAGCAGCCAACTACTGAATGAGATCATGCCCATGATTTACAAGCGCTTCACCGAGAAGGCCTCGGAGGAATGGAGACAGATCTACAAGGTACGTTGAGCGCTCTGTGCCACCACCGTCGCTAACAGACCCAGGCCCTGCAACTTCTCGAATACCTGATCAAGAACGGTTCCGAACGAGTAATCGACGACGCGCGCTCTCATGTCTCGCTCCTCAAGATGCTACGGCAATTCCACTTCATCGACTCCAACGGCAAGGATCAGGGCATCAACGTGCGCAACCGTGCCAAGGAGCTCGCCGAACTCCTCAGCGATGTCGATCGTATCCGGACTGAGCGCAAGAAAGCGCGAGCGAACCGAAACAAATTTGGCGGTGTCGAGGGCGGAGCAGGCATCGGCATGGGCGGCTTCTCGGGGGGCAGTGGAGGTGGCAGCCGCTACGGAGGCTTTGGTAGCGAGCAGGCAGACTATGGCGGCTACAGAGGAGAGGTCTACGGCGACGGCGGTGGCTTCGGGGGCAACCAGTCTGGCTTCGCAGACACGCAACAGAGGCGCGACAAGTTCGACGAATACGACGAATACGACGAGGGCGAGAGTGCCAGCTCAGCACCAGCACGGCGGAGAGAGCCTACAGCGAGTCACACAAAGAAAGAGGTCAAGAAGGAGGAACCCAAGCCGAAAGCACCTGAGCCAGTCGTCGACTTGCTTGCGTTTGACGATGAGCCCGCGCCCATGTCTACTTCAGCAGGGAAGCAGCCTGTCACTGCTGCAAGTGACGACTTTGGCGACGACGACGATTTCGATGACTTCCAATCTGCGGCACCGGCAGCACCTGCATCCAAGCCAGCTGCTTCAGCTTTCAACGTTGCGTCTCCTGCCTCGACCTCTCACATTACTTCGTCAACCCAATTCGCCGCACCGCAGGCTCAGTCTGCTGCGCAGAACAACAATCTTAGCAACTTGTTTGCGACCGTCTCGCCACCACCCGCTGCGAACAAGATGAGCGCGCCTCCTTCCATGACGTCGAGCTTCTCGCAGCCACCACAACCCACGGGATACCAAGCGGCCGGCCCGAACTACTTCACTTCCGTTCCTCAGCCCGCGCCCCAATCAGGAGCATCTACACCTTCTGTCATGTCACCAGGTGGTCGCATTGGCGGAGGAGCTGCTCCCAAGAAAGCCGGCGGTGACGCTTTCGCTTCTCTACTTGCTGGAGCTGCGCCAAAGAAGTCTTCCACGCCAACACAAAAGGTCACCATGGGGGATTTGGCAAAGCAAAAGACGTCACAAGGACTCTGGGGTGCCCCTGCTTCCGCATCCAGCACACCTGCCCCTGCCGCACAACCATCGCAGTCAGGGTCCAAGCCTGGCGGCGCTTTGGGCGACCTGCTGGGCTAGATGCCACAACAGTGTGCAATTCTTTATTTGTTTAGCTTGAAGATACAAAATGCGGCGTATGATACTATGACAGTCGAGAAAAAGCGTAATAGACGATCTCATATCTGAAAACCGTGATGATGAAGACCGTAAAGACAGTGATGGTTCTCCGCAAATGCGCCTCTTTGATTGGCTGTTACCACCCCCTGCATCACCTCCGCGGCCAAGACGCTGTCGACGCGCGCGCAGCGTGTGGCATGTGAAAACAACAGCACCGTCCCCTTTCCGGACCCGAACATGCATAGATGCAGCTCTCGAGATTTCTTTTCCGCGTCGCCCTGCTGCTATGTCCGATAGCCTTGATTGGCACGACATGGCTGTATTTATACCCCGTTTTTCACGGCTGCGCATTCCCAAAGCCCCCAGCCACGCAGGCGCAAGCCAATGCACCCTTCCGTCTACTATCTCTCGGTGATCCCCAGCTCGAGGGTGATTCTTCGCTCCCCGATCCGAATGCGCTCGTTTTTCCGTCGATCGAGAAGCTCGTACCGAATCTGCGCGATGCAGCCAACTTCACCCACAGACGAGACATCGTAGAGAAAGCAGCAAGAGGTGTTGTCAAAGATGCCGGCAGATGGCTTGAGGGGAAAAGGAAGGCTGTAGATCTGTGGGGCAACGACTGGTATCTGTCGCATATCGTAAGAAGCCTACGATGGTGGACTGAACCCACACACATCAGTGTGCTTGGTGACTTGTTGGGCAGTCAGTGGGTCACAGATGGCGAATTCATGAAGCGAGCAGGGCGCTATTGGAACGTTGTCATGAGGGGATTGGAGAAGGTGCCGGATGCCATCTTTGGTGCTCTTGAAACCGAGAAGAAAGAACAGCCGCCAACAGAACCTAGAACGGAACAAGAGGTTCCAGGACAAGAGGCGATAGACGAGGAGCAGAAACCAGAGAGGAAGGCACTGTGGGGTGGTACAACGGAAGTGTTGGGTGCTGATCAAGACTGGGAGAAGCGCGTCATTAACATAGTTGGAAACCACGACGTTGGTTACGCTGGCGACATCGACGAGTCGCGTATCGAGCGATTCGAAAAGGCCTTTGGAAGTTCCAACTGGGATATCTGGTTCACGCTCCCTGACGCACTGCGCTTGAACAAGACCAACAAACCGGCTACGCAAGACCTGCCCAGGCCTCCGACACTCCGCCTCATTATCCTAAACTCGATGAATCTCGATACACCCGCCTGGTCCTCCGACCTTCAGACCGAGACCTACTCCTACATGAACCACATCATAACCAGCTCCCTTCCAGTCGATGACAAGACACACGCTACCATACTCCTCACCCATATTCCGCTCGAGAAGGAGGAAGGTGTCTGTGTTGACAGCCCATACTTTGACTTCTTTGAGGAAGGTCAAGGGGTGAAGGAGCAAAACATGCTTTCAGACCATGCTAGTAAGATCGTCCTTGAGGGGTTGTTTGGCATGAGTGCGAATAAAGATGCGGAGGGCCAGGGGCAGGGCAGGAGGGGTATAATACTCGACGGGCATGATCACGCTGGCTGTGATGTCGTACATTACATTCGTCAGCCCGGCGTGGACGATTCGTGTCAAGTGGCCCATGTGAAGAGAGAGGAGGCGTACTGGCCAGCGAGCACTACGAATGCGACCATGATTGCTACTTCGATGGATATCGATGGCGTCGACATCAACTTGGTAGCCGCTAACGATACCATTGCCGAATCCGATGTAGCCTCGGACGAGACAGCATCTGAATCTGCACCAGAGCCTACTTCAGAGCCTGAACCTGAACCTCCCGCACCACCGAAATGGAAGGCTCGTCGCTTCCCTCCGCGTCCATACGACATCACCCCGGCCAACGAGTGCACTTCCATTAACGATGTCCCTCACATTCGCGAGATCACGTTGCGCAGTATGATGGGAGAGTACTCGGGCTACGCGGGTTTTCTATCAGCGTGGTTCGATGAAAGCAAAGGCGAGAAGGGCGAGTGGGTCTTTGAGTTTAGCACGTGTGGAGTCGGGGTTCAGCATTGGTGGTGGGGTGTACACATCGTTGACCTAGTCGTGCTGCTCTGCCTATTGGTCGGAGTTCTGGTGAGTATTTACGAACGCTTAGCTGTGGATGGCAGACAGTCTGCGATGAACAGAGTTATGAAGAAGCAGGAGGTGGAGTCGACTAAGACCTCAACGGCTTCGAAGACCATTGTATATTCGACGCGTGAGAGGACGTCTTCGGTCACGGAAGTTACGAAACGAAGGATATAGATGCGTATGTAGGGCCTATAACTATACAGCAGGGCTTCCAAGAGCTGCGTTCTTTAGATCGTCGTACCTGAGCTCAGTAGACTAGTGTGCATACCTAGGTAGACCCTTCGGATACATGGGTTTACCCCGCAATGCAACTCCACGCGCCAGCGTGCAAGTCTCCACGATCGGGCACTAAGGCAAAGAGCGCTATACTTCGATCTTCCCTGCTTCATTCGTCCGCCTCTCGTGCTACCCCAGTATTCTGAGCCCTGTGTCCTGGCTTTCTGTCTCGACAACCAAGAAGATGGACTAGGCCCGAACCTTAAATGCTGCGTGATCGACGTGTTCGGACTCATTCCGCTCTCCTGGCAAATGGAGGCCTACATAGAGGGGGACGATACGTATGCGTGTAAGCAAGATGAAGCAAGTCTTCCAAATGCTTCACATCTGCTTGTGTCATTGGCTCATCCTCAGTAAAATCTACAAGTCGACGAAGTCTAGCTAGGCACAGTAGCCACTCAGGTCCAACACTTTCGGTGTCGTAGAACCATATCCGGTTGCGCTACCGTGCATCGCGGTCACATTCCGTGGCACATAGCTCTGGACTGACTAGGCGACTTTATATGGACTCTGACCTCGTGCTGCGCATCGGGAGTCAAGTCTCCTCTATCAGTCAGTCGCAATATTAGCCATGTCTCTTGAACGCGTCGATTCGGTTGACCCTACAGAGGTGTACGACTACATCATTTGCGGGTAAGTCGACCTCCTGTGAAAGCATCTACAATGTTCCCCGAAATACTCTTACTGACATTTATCCGTCAGTGGCGGCACATCAGGCTGTGTAATAGCAGGCCGTCTCGCCGAAGATCTCAATGCCAAAATTCTTGTCCTAGAAGCCGGGCCCGACAATGCCGATCTTGAAAATGTACATATGGCGGGAGGGTAAGCCAACCCCTTGTGGTTTCGTCTACTTCTTCATGCTGAGTAAATCGCCGCAGATGGAGCCAGAATTTCGACAAAGAGACAGACTGGAACATCGTCACGGAGCCCATGCCTAAAGTCGATAACCGACAGGTCAAGGTCAGCAGAGGACGCTTCCTTGGTGGATCGAGTGGCGTGAACGGCACGCTTTGCATACGAGGCACAAAGCAAGATTATGACGATTGGGAGATGGATGAGTGGACTGGTGATAAGATGTTCGAATACATGAAGAAGGTCGGTTCTGGAAGTACGAAGACCTGGGAGCATGCAAGCTGACCCTAATACAGTCCGAGACCTTCCACGAGAAGGATTGGCACAAAGCCGATATGTCTGTTCATGGCTCGTCAGGGCCTCTGCACATCGAGCCCCACGACCTCGCACCCATATCTGAACGTGTCAGGGAAAGTCTTGTCGACAAGGGTCTGCCTTACCACGCGGACATGTTCTCAACCGGAGAGACGCCACATGGATGTGGCGACGTGCCACGGACAGTGCATCAAGGTATACGAAGTACCGCCGCCGACTTCATCACCAAAGGCTATCGACGGGAGAATATCACGATCAAGACTGAGGTGACTGTTGACAAGCTGCTATTCAGCCAGGATTCCGGAGACCTTGCAGCAACGGGTGTCGCTACCATATCCAAGAACGGTAAGAAGCTCGATTACCACGCGAGAAAAGAAGTCATCGTTGCAGCAGGCGCATACTGCAGCCCACCCATCCTGATGCGCTCTGGTCTTGGTCCAAAGGAACAACTGGAAAAGCATGGTATCGAGTGTCGCGTCGATCTTCCAGGTGTAGGAGGCAATCTTATGGACCACATTCTCTGCTTCATCTTCTACGAAGTCTCGGAACCCAACCTCACGAACGATCACCTCGCATACCACGACGACGCCATGACCTCCACCTACGCGTTATACAAAGAGAAGAAAACAGGCATCTTATCTACCTTCCCTTTCGGCATCTTCGGCTACGCGCGCCTAGACGAGCGCCTCCAAGACTCACCCTTGTGGAAGGATGCTCCCCGTCAACCCGGACGCGACCCCATGGGCCTCACCCCCTCGCAACCAAACATCGAGTTTTGGAACACTGAACTCTACGGTGGACCCAAACAATACGCCGACTTCCCTGTCGATCACAAACAAGCCTTCGCCATGTGTGCCCTGCTCTTCAACCAGCATAGCAGGGGTAGCGTGACGCTGAAGTCGGCTGATCCATTCGAAAACCCCATTGTGGATCATGCGTATCTGGAGGATCCACTGGATATGCTGGTTATGACTGAGGCATGCCGATTTGCGAACGAAATTGTTACGCAGGGGAAGGGGACAAGAAGTCTGATAAAGGGGAGTTGGCCTGATGCCCTAGCGCATCATGGCTTTGAGACTAGAGAGGAGTGGGAGCCGCATGTTAGGGAACATGCTACTACCTGTAAGTCGCTTCCATGTTCATGAACAAAAGTGAAAAGATACTAACGTGGTGGATGTAGGTTACCACGCATCCGGTACCTGCGCGATGGGTAAAGCGGATAACCCCAATGCTGTTCTCGACTCGCGACTCCGTGTGCGCGGTGTCAGGAATCTACGCGTGGCGGACGTGTCTTCCATTCCAAAGGTTAACAATGGGCATACACAGATGGTGGCGTATGGTATTGGTGAGGGAGCTGCGGAAATGATCAAGGAAGATGCTGCTGGGAATCACTTCTTGAAGCTTACTGCTGATGTCAAGAGCATGGCAGTGTAGTGAGCTTGACGTACAAGAAGAGGCCTGGGGAGAGAAAGGATCCATAATAGCGAGGCCTCAACGACATCTAGTTGTCTAATGATATCATTCATCTCCAAGTCGACTCTCTCATGAACCTATGCATCTTCGTGTTTGCAATGTGCTCCGTCTCAAGCGTGTAGAGCCGACCCCTAATAACCGCCTCCGAACCCACCACGGCCACGGTTTCCACCTCGTCCCCTACTGGATTCACCACGAGGACCCGGTGCAAAAGCAGGCGGTGCAACAGGCCCCTGAAACCCTGGCGGCGGTGCCATACCGCGAGTATCGCGCCTCTGCTTGTCAGTCTCATCTCGCTCCAGCAAAAGTCCATCCTATATCTTACCAGTTGGGGTACTTCATCAGCGAACGACCAGATGCCCAAGTCATTCTTCGCTGCTTTTCTTGCTGGGCGACCAACTCATAGGCGTCTTGTAACCCTCGGGCTGCTTGGAGAGGCGGGAGAACAAGACCGCCCCACTTCTTGTAATGGCGGATTAATAGGAGGTCGACCAAGGCTGCGTTGCTGATGATGGACTCGACGCCGGGATGGCAGTCGTCAGGATGGGTTATACCCCAGACAATCTGGTCCATGGCGTTGACGTTATTCTCGATCAGATCCTGATGATTGTTAGTGATTAGTAGGTAGATACGTGGGTGAAGGTGAAGGTGAAGAAGAAGTGAAGTAGTATTGACAACGATGAAATTGAACATGGAAGGAACTTACGATGGCGTTGCTGACGCCCACAACAGTAACGACATCCCGGCCGTGAACGTGGTTTGGAGTTTTTTGCTTATACGTGCGCCAATGTGCTTCGACGCTGCCGTCAGCGTAGGCCTCGAAGTCGTTGACCTGATAACCAGTTGGGCGGTCACTCTCCAGACGGTACACGAGCTCGTTGGTTGAGGTGTTGTTGGACATCTTGTCGTATTTTGTCGATTGTGAGATAAGAGAGGCGGTATTCCAAAAGGTGATGCTGAAAATGGAGATGCTTCCGTTGATATAGAAGGAAAAGAAGAAGCAAGCGTTTGAGGAGGGTAGATTATATACAAGCAAGAACTCCCACCGTTTGGCGCTTGAACAGGCAATCCGCCGTCACGTCGAGAAGACGGAAGGTGAGAGCGTCGGTCACGCTGGATGTTGAGAAGCAAACGCCCTTGCAAGCGACGGTCACCTCGGCTAGAGATCTCAGGAGAAACGCATAATGAGAGGCACCCAAACGTGAAAGAGAGGTCTGGAGAAGGACTTACTTATAGTGTCGTCGTGTCGGCTTAGCAGGCACATCATATGTCACCTGGGAGTATGTGTTGTCATAACTTGACCGAGTGAGTAACTATCCTGATATGTAGCAATCAAGGCAGTCCAAGCGCGTATGTTCCGCCTTACTGGCATCTTCGGAAGGGACGTCAGGTGTTCATTGTGCTAGGTGCCAGGTTTCGTAATCTCTCGTTCGCCACCGCCAAAGGCTCGATCAAATCAGCATGGAGATCTTATATAGCCCGCAGTTAGGTCTGAGCAGTAGGGCAACATTTCATTGCTCAGGTCAGTGCTCGTAGTCACTAGTCACACCGCGGAGACCCTGTGATCCACCTAGTGCGTTCTCTCCTCAAACTCCTTGATTTGACGATACTTCTCGTGTCGAGAGGACCTAATTATATGGGTACATATGGCTCTGAGGATTGCGATCTCTCTCATTTAATAAGGAGTACCTTTGCGTATGTAGTAGTTTTGTATTTCGGGAGTTATAAGTGGCTTGTCTTGCTCTGCGTTATCGCAGTACTATAGATAGGATAGAAGGGAACTAGAATATCGAATCGCACACCGCAGTGAGTCAACGGTCGAGGAATATATAAGGGTACATATGGATTTTGGAAGTTGTAAGTCGCTCGTCTGCGTCGCGTTACCGCAGTACCATAGGACGAGATAGAAGAACCAAAGTATGCATCGCACACTCTGAGTCAGAAGAGGGCAATATAAGATGGTCGCCGCTGCGTCTTCGTTGCTTGCACAACGCACACACAACTATTTCTCTCCTCAAAACCGCAAACACCCGCGATATTTATCTTCCATACGCACTACAGGTCAATCCAAGCCCCCCAACTTCCAAATATTCTCAATATGGTGCGACGAGCAGCAAAACCAAAGCCCGAAATGAGCTACTCCAATTACATCGCTTCCGAAACAAGACTCGCTAGGCTTGAAGTTGACGACATGCCAAATTATGCGGCCATGAGTTATTCGGAACTTTGCGAGGAGATGAAATCGCGCGGGATGTTCCAAGGTGGAGAAAAGCAACGGATGATCAACATGCTTGAGCGTCAGTTTCGAGAGATGCACATGGAACACACGAGAAGGCCGGTTCGTCAGGCTAAGCGTCGTCTTCGTGAGCACCCAGAGATGATGCTTACCAGCGAATTCAAGAGGGATCCTTCCAGAATCTCTTTCACGGACTTGCCTGGTGAGATCCGAAACATGATCTATGATCTCGCCCTCTTCGAACCTCTTTCGGGCGATTTCGCACAAGCTGGAAACTGGGAGATGACTGCCAGCAGTGGTCGCTTATTTCTCTCTCGCTACCGGACATATCATCTGGAATTAGATCTTGGCGAACTCCGCTATGACCGCACCATCTCAGCGTTGCATGTTGTCGGAGCCTTGGACAAGCAGATCCGGAAAGAGGTTCAGACCTTCTTTTGGGCTCAAACCCATATCACGATTGTCCTAGAGAATTATCACCCACAGGGCTACTGCTCCGTCGTTCGCCGGTTCCTCGAAAGAATCGGCCCTCTAGGTAGAAGCGCCCTCGCCGGCTTCACTGCGCAAGCGAGGTATACAGATAATGCGCAAGCGCGGCCCCACGACTATCAGACTATGCTCGCGTTGCTTCGAGAGTGCAAAAACTTGCGGACACTGGATATGTGGCTACCTATGCACATGGTAATGGGTTCCCCCGATCGGACGGCGATGGAACAATTCTTCCTGCATGGTCAGCCTTTGGTCAGTCCTAGCGTCGAGGCTCTTGTAGGCGCATTGCATTCGATTCCGCAGCTTGGCTTTGTGCGACTACACACAGAGCATACGGACAATGTAAGGCACTACCTTCATCATAACGATTTTGACGTCTTCGCACTGACGGGGGTACGTGAAGAGCGCCTGGTCCAGGAAGTCTGCAGGCGCCTTCAGGGGCGTAGAGACGTCGAATTCAACATCGTGGGTAGCATGAATCAGGTGGAGAGTTACGAGGAATGGCTATCACGCAAGGCGGAAGACATACTCTGGTAATGGAGAAGAGCTTACGCTCACTCGGTTTCTTCCTCCTTGTGTAGAGCGTTGTGTAGTTAAGATGACTGTAGCTATGTTTGGCTTCTTCGCGGTGGCAGGTAGCGTGCTATCACCGAGCACGTAGAATGCTTTTTGAGTTAGTTCGAGATATGAAGGTATTGGGGGGGGATAACAAGTAATGATGAAATCGATAGTGGCTAAAGATACGATATTCAGTGCGTGTGCAGATGCTTAGCCGAGGAACGCCGTTGGGGGAATTCTGAGGAAGCTTGTCAGAAACACGCGACGCGGCTGGCAGGGAAGACGCGTCTCGCTTATTAAGCACGCTACTCGCAACTCGCGTGAACAGCATTCCTTTTCTCTCTGCCGCATGTCAACACTTTGGAAATATCATTACATGCTACGCGATTCGCGCACCCAACAGATGACATCTACCGTTACGGTCCGACTGTGATGCGCAGCGGAACAGACAGCACATCGAAGAACAAACAGAGGCATGGGTATCAACAAATACATTAAGCTATCATGACTTTAGGACCGTCTCGTTAAGTCGTCATCTATCTAAGCGGTTCGACAGCGCGCCCCCCTATTCATACCTCAAACCGTGTCCGAACTTGAAGACAGGGTTCTCAGTATCGAACGGCACATCCTCCTTGCTCGCCTCGACCGCCTCGTCGCTCCTCGGGAGATCGAACGGCAGCTTACCCTCCGGACCGCTACCGTCAACGCCGAAGATAACATCGAGGAAGGCTTGCGGGCTAGTACCGTAGTTGACCATAAGGGCTTGGGCTTGCTCGGCAATCTCGGGCACAGCAGCAGGGCGGTCAAGGAAGATATCAACAATGGTGGGGACGGCAGCGTAGATGGCTGCTTGGCGCGCCTTCTCAGTGCTGTTGTACTCGAGAGAGCCAGAGTGGTAGTTCTTCTCGAAACCACCCGGGCGGGGTTCGTAAGGGGCGGCCATGCGGAGGAAGGCGTAGTCGGCTTCTTCAGGGGTTGCGACGACAGTCAGGTCGCGGGCCTCTAGGTAGGTGCTGTTGATACCTTCGACGTAGAACTTGGCCTTGGAGCAGTCGGAAGCCTTCAGTGGGAGAATGGAATCCTTGTTGGTGAGCAGAGTAACGGACTTCTTCTGGGCCTCGTATCCGGCCTCGACCCATTCTTTCTTAGCAACGTTAGCCGCGGCGGCCTCGGGATCCACGAAAGGGTTGTCGAAGAGACCGAGGATGAACTTCTCGCGGAGAAGACGGCGAACCGACATGTCGATGCGCTCCTCACTCACGATGCCCTTCTCCACCAACTCGAGAACGAGATCAGTGCGCTCCTCGCCACCCATCTGGTCGGTGCCAGCGTTGATAATCTTCTCGGCACGCTCGAGTTCAGTCAGGTTCTCCGCACCCCAAGCACGAGCTGGCATGTCTTGTCCGTTGATGACACCGTCGGTGATGAGACCCCAGTCGCTGACGACGATTCCGTCGAAACCAAGCTCGCCTCGGAGAAGGTCGGTGACAATGCCCTTGTTCATGCCAGCGGCGACCTCCTCGTACTTGGTGCCCATAGGCCTGGAGTAGTAAGGCATCATCTGCCTTGCGCCAGCTGCGATAGCAGCCTTGAACGGGATGAGATGATGCTCGAAGTTGTTTCCTGGGTATGTGGCATTCTTGCCGTAGGTGAAATGGCTGTCCTCACCGTCTTCGAC